CTACGCTTCCCAACCCCAACCAACACATGAACTAAACTCCCTCCCTCTTTGATCAGCGGGGCGTTCTCTCTTTTCTCTTGCCTTGTGATTGTGCTCCCCGTTTCCCATGGTGATCGACTTCTGACCTCATTTTACTGTCGGTTCCCTCCTTGCATCCTGCCCTCAATCCGTTTCATCTCATCTTGTACTACTACTTCCTCCTCTCGCCACGGTCTCCGCATCTGACGTTCCCTATTCTATTTGCGCTTCCGATAGTCGTACTTCACTGCGACTATCACCCCAAATCCCCCAAATTAAACAATCATACATCACACTAGAGCACGCTTCAGTTTTGTCGTCTGGCGCGCCGCACGAACGCTAGTCACTCCGTCATGGCGACCAACGGCCATTTTGCCTCGCTTGGCAACGGCAGCAGCGACAAGACTGCATACGAGCATGGCGTGCAAGTGATTGACGGCGACAAAGAATTCAAGTATGCTATGATTTCCCCCAGTCCCCCAGTTTTCTCCCCCAGTCACAATCTGCGGATCAATCTCACGTACATCTGGACGGCCATTTTCCAAATTGTTCTCGTCAGGGGACGATGTCCACCTGGCGTGCATTCGGCGCATTAGGCTAACTCCGGTATCATCGCAGCCCGAATCTATCAAAATACCTAAGTCTGGAAGATGTCACCCATGCGGGTTTCAACTATCACCTCATTTCTGTGTTCGGATCCCAGTCGACGGGCAAGTCCACGCTCCTGAACCACCTCTTCGGTACGCATTTCTCAGTCATGTCCGAGCTGGAGCGTCGCCAGACGACCAAGGGTATCTGGTTGTCGAAGAACAAGAACGGCGGGGACAAGTCGATGGCGGATAACATCCTGGTGATGGACGTCGAGGGTACAGATGGTCGCGAGAGAGGCGAAGACCAGGATTTTGAGCGCAAGAGCGCCCTCTTTGCGCTTGCGACCAGTGAAGTCTTGATTGTCAATATCTGGGAGCACCAGGTCGGCCTGTACCAGGGCGCAAACATGGGACTGCTGAAGACGGTTTTCGAGGTCAATCTGCAGCTGTTCTTGAAGGATCGCAAGTAGGTTTCCTTCGCTGGACACGGTTTACAGTTACACGCGCTAATCGCTCTTCATCTTATATAGCACCACCCACCGATCTCTCTTGTTCTTTGTGATCCGTGATTTCGTTGGCAATACGCCCCTGAAGAATCTGCAGAATACCCTGATGGAGGACATGTCCCGACTGTGGGACTCGATCTCGAAGCCCGCCGGCCTGGAGCAGTCGTCCGTTCACGATTACTTCGATTTCCAGTTTTACGGCCTCCCCCACAAGAGTTACCAGCCTGAGCAGTTTGTTGCCGAGACCAAGAAGCTCAGCTTGCGTTTCCGTGAGGACCACAAGGATCCTAGTCTCGATCCCCGCAAAGGCGAGTTCTCTGATGGTGGTGTCTTCCTACCCGAGTACCACCGCAGAATCCCCGCCGATGGTTTCTCAAAGTATGCGGAGGGCATTTGGGACCAGATTGTCAACAATAAGGACTTGGACCTTCCAACCCAGCAGGAATTGTTAGCGCAATTCCGCTGCGATGAGATCCTTCGGGAGGTCATGCTCGCCTTCGACGAGGCCATTGTTCCCTTTGAGGATAAGCAGTCGCAGGCCGCTCGCCTCGGTGAGCCGGAGATCCTCGGTGGATTGGGAGCCGCCATGCGCACCTCTCGCAGTAAAGCGTTTAGCAGTTTTGAGACCGAGGCCAGTCGCTACCACAAGGGTGTTTACCTGCGCAAACAAGCAGAGTTGGAGGATAAGATTGATACTCGCCTCAAGGCGCTCTTCCAGGGTCAACTCGATGCCATGCACAAGACTGGTATCAGTGAGTTCACTGAGGCTGTCTCCGGCACTGTCAAGGCTGGCCAGAAGAAGGGTACTGGTTACGACTTCGCGGAGATTGTCAATGACGAGGTGTCTAAGGCAGTTCAGAAGTTTGAGGAGGTTGCGCGCGCCACTGTTATTGAGGGGACTGCCTGGAGCGATTACCAGCAGCAGCTGTCGTTGTATGAGAAAGATCTGGCCGACGTCAGCGCACGGTTGCGACGGGAGGAGATGCGGCGGCTGGCCAGTCGAGTTGAGCGGTGGGTTCAGTCTCGTCTGGGAGAGTCGGTCGGCTTGGAATTCAATGCGCTTGGTTCTGGACGCGCCGGGGGCGGTGCACCTGAGGAAGGGGACAAGCCTGTTGAGAAGAAGTTCTGGGACCGTGTCTGGAATGTCTTTGTTGAGACGGTCCTTGATGCCGAGCGCAGATTTACCGACCGTGCTAGTAGCTTTGATGCTAGCTTGGAGGAGGTTGACGTTGGTCTTTGGCGGTTGCGCCGGAAGTCCTGGGGCGTGCTACGGGCCAAGATCGAAGAAGAAATGTTGGAGGGCAACTTGCTGCTGAAGCTGCGCGAGAACTTCGAGGACAAATTCCGCTATGACGAAGCTGGTGTCCCCCGGATCTGGCGCCCTACCGACGACATTGAGGGTATCTATACGCGGGCTCGCGAGTCGACTCTCACGCTTATCCCACTACTGTCCCGGTTCCGTCTCGAAGAGACATCTGCTCCGCCTCCGCTGGATCGCTGGATCGGCCACACCCCCAGCTCTTCGACCCCGGCGGACGAGGAGGATTTGCCGCCGATCGGAGGAGTGGACGAAGAGGAAGGCAAGAGCCTGGAGGAGGAAATGACAATGCTTAGCGAGGCCAAGCGCCAAGAACTGACGGTGCGGTTCAAGAAGGCGGCGGATGGCGTCTATGTCGAAGCCAAGCGGAGTGCCATCGGGGGCATGACGCAGGTTCCGCTGTATTTCTACGGTATCCTCCTTGCGCTCGGCTGGAACGAGATCATTGCTGGTAAGTGGAATTTTTGTGTTGCGTACGAAAGATTATCACTAATTAGCCACAGTGCTTCGCAATCCCGCCTACTTCTTCCTGCTGTTTGTTTGCGCGGTGGGCGCGTATGTGACCTATCAGCTTAATCTGTGGGGGCCCATCATGAAGATGACGGAGGCGGCCTCGAACCAAGCCATGGTGGAGGGCAAGAGACGACTGCGCGAGTTCCTTGAGTCGTCGGACACAGGCCGTCAAGCAATTGCTATGTCGACGCAGGGAGGTGCTGGGCGAGGTGAGCAGCACGAGATGTCCCGACTCAACAAGCAAGGACAGAGTGTGAAAGAGGATGAAGATGATCTGTGAAGGGGGAGGTGGAGGTGTATTTCAGTTGCATTCTTGTACTCCACTATTGTGTATTGTCATTGTCTGAATAGATATTATATCACAGCCTTGAAGAGCTGTTTATGTACACCGCACAGTCCACGTTAAGAACTTGAGTCTCGCCCGGACTTACTCCGATTCCCCGCCTTTCTCAACGGCGCCCCTCGTTCGTCCCTTAAGTTTCCCCTCTTGTCTTTCCTTTTTTTTTTCATTTTTCTCGTGAGTATACTACTTGCTGCTTCAATCCTTGCATGCCTTTCTATGATGTCGGAATTCAATATCCCAGAGAAATACGATGACCTGCCAGACAAGCGACGATACTGGCCGGCGGCGCCGGGGTCGCGCGAAGAAGGACTGGGTATGCTACGACTATTGACTCCAGAGGTCGTCGCCAACGCAGCCCAAACGCAAATCCGGACTGGCGAACGCGTGTGTTTGAACTGGGATCTCGAGAAGCTGAATCGTCCGGGTTAGTGTCCGGCTCGCGGGGTTGAGACCCAGCATTGACTACTATTTGTTTATGCCGTATACTGACTACGTCATCGCATGGCCCAGGCTTCAAGCGCAAGCCCTTCGAACACAAAGTGAAGTGGGTGGCAGAGGGCGTTGCCTTTGACGACGAATACCACTTCAACCCACAGCAATCCTCACAATGGGACGGGCTGCGTCACCACAGCGCGCCGCCGCCGCCTGCCGCAGAGGAGGACAGCAGTAGTCGCACAACATCAACCACCGGGACCGGCAACACGAACGCACAGGTGTTTTACGGTGGCACGACGGCGGCGGAGATCCTGGACCCCAAGTCGGCGCGCATCGGCATCGGCCACTGGGCGAAGCAGGGGATCGCGGGCCGCGGGGTGCTGATCGACTACTGCAGCTGGGCGCGGGAGAAGCGCGGGGTGACGGTGGACGCGCTCAGCCGGTACGAGATCTCGCTGGACGAGGTGCAGGCGATCGCGCAGGAATGCGGCATCGAGTTCCAGCGCGGCGACATCTTCTTCCTGCGCGTGGGCCTGCCAGCCACGTGGGACGCGATGACCGACGAGCAGAAGGCGGCGTACAGCCGGCAGCCGACGCCGCAGCATGCGGGGCTGGAGCAGAGCGAGCGCGTGCTGCGCTTCCTCTGGGACCACCACTTCGCCGCCGTGGCTTCGGACGCCGTCAGCTTCGAGGTCTACCCGCCCCTCCGGCCGGAGTGGGACCTCCATCACTACCTGCTGGCCGGGTGGGGGTTGCCCATCGGCGAGATGTTCGATCTCGATGGGCTCGCCGAGATGTGTCGGCGGCTCGGGCGGTGGACGTTCTTTGTGTCGAGTAGTCCCTTGAATTGTGCGCAGGGCGTGTCGAGTCCGCCGAATTGTATGGCTATCTTTTGAATGGAGAGGTGGGAATTTAAGTTGGGGTTGAAGTTGAAAGCTGAAGCTGTTATGGTTTATGGTTATGGTTATAATGGATTGATGGTGTGTGGATGGATGGCCGGATGAGATAAGCACAATCGACCCTCCACGTGCCTCGGCTCAACACGTTATCTCCATCGCGTCTCATTTTTGGGAATCGCATCTCTCAGGGGACGAGCACCTTTTTTTCCCGGCGACAGGGTTTCGACTGTCATTATTTTCTTCAGACAGGCGGCGGTGTCGTCAGTCACGTCTGTCTCACTGAGACGCCTTGACACTAGCTTGTTTTCTCTTTCTCATTGATGGTAACAGGGATCTATAGCATAGCTAGCTAGCTAGCGATAATCGACCACTGTCAACATGGCTTCTCTGTCCACTCTGTGCAACCTCCTGCAGGAATGCATCTCATCTCTTCTCACCTGGAAAGCACTGGCACTGTTCCTCGCACTGATCAACCTGAAGAACCTCCCTCTGGTCTGGCATGTAAGTTCATGCACTCTTCCCCTCATCGCCTTCACCACCACAACAACACCTCTCTATCCCCCTCATCCTCGCCCTTTCAAAGAGAGAACCAACATACTAACCCCAACCCTTATAACACAGGCCCGCCTCGCCCACCACCTCTACCGGAACATCCGGCGCACCCCGCAAGACCCGCACCACCCAGCATCCACCCACCCGCCGCCGCACGCGACGCACCCGATCTTCCTCCCGCTGACCATCAGCTCGCGCACCCCGATCCTGGAAACCGACTACAACTTCCACAAGTCCAACAGCACCTACTTCTCCGACCTGGACATCGCCCGCACCGCCCTGGCCACCCGCATCTTCACCCCGGGGTCCCGCCTCGTGAACCGCGAGCTCGACGCCGAACTCGCGTCTGCGTCTTCCTCTCTATCATCAGCATCATCCGGGAAGGCGGAGAAGCAACAACCCAAAGGCGGAAGCAAACTCGGACTGTACATCGCCCTGGGCAGCGTGTTCTGCAGCTTCAAGCGCGAGATCAAGCCCTTCGAGCGGTATGAGATCACTTCGAGGGTGATCAGTTGGGATGAGAAGTGGGTGTATATGATTAGTTACTTTGTGAGGCCGCAGGCTGGGGGTAAGGGAAAGGGGATGGGGATGGGGAAGGGGAAGGGGAGGTTGTTGGCTACCGCGCTGAGTAAGTATGTGGTTAAGAAGGGGCGGGTTACGGTGCCCCCTGAGAGGGTGCTCAGGGCTAGTGGGTTCTTGCCGGAGAGGCCGGCGGGGTCGGTTGCTTCGTCGGTGGGTGGGGGTGGGAGCTTGACGCCGGGGGAGAGTGGGAGTGAGGAGGGGCAGCTGCTGGATGAGGGGATTACGGCCACGGGGACGGCCACGGGGGTGGATGCGGCGGTTGTGAGGGAGGTGTTGTTGGACGCCGGGGGTGGTGATGATGCGGTGAAGGAGGAGCAGAGGGAGAGGAATGTTCATTCGTGGAATGAGGAGGATTGGCCCTGGCAGAGGATCGAGGAGGAGAGGCTGCGTGGGCTGAGGGTTGTGGAGGGCTATGCTGCGTTGGATGCGAAGTTATTTGAGGAGTGGGGTGGGGAGTGAGGGGATGTTTGCATAGAGATAGACTTAGATTTCGGGTTCTTATTTTTCGGTGTAGAATGCAAGCAATTTCAACTCAAGCAAAATATAGCCAAAATGAACCACCTCCAGCAAATCGGTCTGTTAGCAAGTTCGATGCAAGCCGCTTCCAGAGCAGAACTACTCGATACTATTCCAAGGAACAACCCCGCCCCCCTCTCCTTCCTCAGTCGGACTGAAATTGTTCATCATGACTCCATTGTCCAGACTAATTCTGGCTCCAAAACACAACCGCGCTGGTCAACCGTCTTCACAATTGCCGGCCACAGAGACCATCGAACTATAGAGGCTGGTTGCCCGTCGCCTCCACCAAGAATCATAGACTGCGGGTCAAACATCACTCCCAATGGACTACAGCAGAAGAAGAACCGTTGTTTCTGCCGGCTCAAAGCAAGCTTGAGAGTCGCACATTTCCACAGCAGTCCTCGAAGCTGGCCCTGCCTTGATACTTCCTGAGTGGAAGAAAAATCCCGGAGTATTCTTTCAGCGCCTTGGACGACGCTGCGGATCACAAGCTCGGACCGACGATTTGAGCTCGCCTGGATTGCCACGCTCGTAGCCACCCTCCAGACATCGAGCTCGTTCTCTGAACCTGGCAAGATTTAGTACGGACTCATATATGTTAAGACTTTCACCCGCAAAATACGTACAGTTGCCTCGGACGTTGCGTTCTATCTTAGACAGAAAATCACCAAGAGGGTCGTCAGGCAACCCGAAGTGGTAGGGTTTGAATATCTCAGCATGGATGAGATTGGCGACAGTGGCATGAACCCAGGCCCGTCGCTGGGGCGCATTGAGCGGCCTGTCTGTCTCACTCAATTCTGGTGTTATCTTTCTCACATCTTTGAAGTTGAAGTTGACCCAGTTGTCCAGGAGTTGATTCAGCCGGCGCATCTGATTCACGATCAGATCATCTCCCACTAGCTTGGACGAGCCAATCTGCAGAGCATCTAGCTTGGAGTACAATCGGTCGAGCTCCTCCCGGTGACGTCTGTCCCTCTCCGTCACTTCCTCCCGTGCCTGGCGCAACAGGCGTTCTTGTTGCTGGATTATCTCTCGATCTGCCAACCGCTGCCTGACTAGAGCTTCGTGGCGCTCTTGCCAAACTCGTTCCATCCTCGCTTTCTCTGCCTCTTCCTCCCGCGCTGCTGCTTCTTGCGTCGCCCGCAGCTGCGGTACCTTTCTTTTCTCAGGCATGGATTCGGCTTCCTGCTTGGCTATCACTTGCCGTTTGGTTTCCTCCTTTCCCCGCGAGACAGGAATGAAGGTCCACTGATGAACTTCGCTTAGCGTGGTGACGAAGCAGGTGGATAGATTGCACTATAACTCACCGGATGCGTTGGTGTCGTTTCATCACTTTCTGCCAGCATGCCATTCTTCAGACATGTGTCTTCTTGCTTGATCTCCGGGTCAAGTACTCGCCCATCACTTGAAATCAGAACACGGACCATTGTTCCTGTTGGGGGTGAATATCCTACACTTGGGTTTTGCTATGCGGATGGTTGGGAGTGACAGGAGGAGTACCTGGGATGACCATCACAGAATTTTCGACTCATCAACTCCAGCAATTCCACCAACTGACGCAATCTGCGCGTATCATGACATCTCAGAGGTCTGGTGATCCTTTGTCATGATTGCGACTGCTGGCGGAACGGATCGCTACCGCCTTCATCATCCCTCGAAGAAGTAAAGAGCTTTGTGCCTGATCAGTCTCTTCCTCCTACCTCCAGCTCAAAACCTTCACTCGGTCTGATTTCACCTACCCGGCACGCAACAGCAAGATGGCGCAAGGTCCTTCGATTGTCGTTGGCGTGGATTTTGGGACAACCTTCAGTGGGTGAGTCTGACACATGCATGGAACTCTTTTGTGGTATGCATGCTTCCATGGAGAGTAGAGTTGCTTGGGCTTTCAAAGAATCAGCCGGCGAGATCGAGGTGCTGTCCACCTGGCCTGGTGGAGGTAACAGTATGTCAGATTCCGCAGCTATTTCAACCGAAATACTATTCTAACCCCTCATTCATAGGAACCTCAGTGAAAGTCCCCTCCACTATATCCGGTGAAGCCCGAACCGCCAGCTGGGGCTATCAAGTTGGCCCATTCATGGATGCCTTGAGAGGCATCAAGCTGATTCTCGACGAGGAACAGGAGACAATGTATTCGCCGTCCCTCTGCTCGAAGAAATTGCTCGCCATTCTTGACAAGGATGCCGTCTAGGTGACAGCGAACTACTTGAGACACCTTATCAAATACGCTCAGGGCGTCCTGGAGCGGCGTCTGGGGATAGCTGCGAGTGCTATGAATCTTCAATTCATTCTTACTGTGCCAGCTATTTGGTCTGACGTGAAGGGAGCAGGTAAGCTGAGCCTTCACGAAGTGACGTTGCAGTGGCATCTGATTCAGGTTGCGATTTACAGTAACTCTTTTTCCTCAACCTGACTTTTCTAGACGATACATGCAATAGTAGCAACTAGTACATGATCTTGTGACTTTCAACCTAATTACTCTCGCTGAGCATCTTAGCTGAGGAACTCGACAGAGAGACACTAAAGAGCGTTGATAAGAAAGTCAAGAAGAAGGCAAAATAAACCCGCAAAATAGCGTTGAGTTTGAGCGTCATGGGAAACCTAAGAGCCCTAACATAACAGTTTTCCGCATTTCACTTTCGGGCAGAGACTAAGTCTAGTGTTTTGTCCTAGTCGAGGTGAAGTCCAAGAGATAGTTAGTTGCACACAGAATTGGGAGTGAGATGGGCAGACTGTAAACATTCAAGTTTAGAAGAACTATGAATTGAGAAAATAGATCCAATACGAGGAGTCAGGCGGCTGTTGCTGTGTGAGACATCAAAGCTGGTAGTACTATGCTGATCATACCAAAAGCTTTCTTGTTCTGAAGCCTATCCGCTTACTATGTATATCCACTGAGAAGTCAAAGATATAAGATGACAAAGCCTAAGATACAATATAGATCTCTTATTGACTTGATTGTGATAATATGAAAGTTTATTTCTCACGCCAAAGTTGGCATGACTCACCCGCCTTACGCTTCCAGTTGGTATCAACCCGTCAATCTTCCCCACAACGAAGCCCCGTTTGCCTCTCATCCAAGCCAGCCAGCCCGCACCGCCAGCGTTGAAAGTCCCGCATTTCTCATCCCATCATGCTCATCAAGATCGACGACCTCTCCAGCCCGGAGACCCGCGCCCTCCTGGCCCTCCACGTCTCCGACCTCCAGCGCAAATCGCCCGCCGAGTCCTGCTACGTCCTCGACCTCCCGGCCCTCCAACAGCCCGCCATCTCCATGTATACGGCCTGGCACGGCCCGGATCTCCTCGGCTGCGGCGCGCTCAAGGAGCTCTCCCCCACGACGGGCGAGATCAAGTCCATGCGCACGGCGGCGGCCCATCTCCGCAAGGGCGTGGCGCGCGCCCTCGTGCAGCATATCATCGCGGAGGCGCGGCGGAGGGGGTATGTGTGGTTGAGTCTGGAGACGGGCACCGACGCGTCGTTTGCGGCGGCCCGGGAGTTCTATGCTGGGCAGGGGTTCGGGTTCTGTGACGCGTTTGGGGATTATGTCCCCCGTGCGGGGACGTGTTTTATGACGTTGAGGTTGGATTGATGTGGATTACTGGTAGAGGATGGTTGGTATTTGAGTAATGGGCGCGTGGCTGAATGATTTGGCAAGGACGTCTTGAGCGAGGCTGTGTCGATAGTACTTGTGCTGTATATCTAGCTTACTAACGCATGTGTAAGTTACCTAGTCATCTAGCGAGCATAGGGCAGCTATGATGGGTGTGAATAGAAGTAGCACATGCATGCTTGAATCGAAGAGATTAAGCATGATGTTTGTTCTGGATGTAAGCCACTGTATTCGGTCTGTCATTAGATTGACACTCACGCTAGTCAATTAGCACATGCTCGAGTCCCAACATCCGTATCAGAGGAAGTAGAGAAGGCTTGACAGCCTGTATTTCGGCCTTGGCTCTACCAGAATAAAGTAAATTGAGTTTTACGCATACAGATCTCTGCTAGTTACACTGTATCGACATTCCAGATACATCCAAAGGCAATAGGAATATCTACGGGGATTAGATCCTCCCTCTCCGTCTCACCACTCAAACCCCTGTCATCGTCGGATGCAAGACCGGCTCTATAGATGGCTCTCAGTTCGGTGGTAACTGATAAGGCATCCGAGTGCGTATATTTAGGTTACAAGCGCCTGCGTCTTTCGTGATCCCCCCCCCCCGCCCCCACCAACCCACCTCTAATCGCCACTTCCCACATACATGCTCGTCTCCTCGGAAGCTCACTCAGCAACGATGACCACTATATATCCGGGAAACTGCCACTGCGGTACCGTGCGCTTCGAGATCCATCTCTCCAGTCCATTCCAGACGACTTTCGCCTGCCCATGTAGAATCTGCGCGAAAAGAGGCTGTCCATGGATTTTCACTCAAAATGATGAACTGAGGTTCACCAAGGGCCGCGATACACTAGCCAGATACAAGACTCAGAAGGGGGAGTTTGAGGTACGCTGAACCATCTTCACTGATGCAGATTTGGCCCCACTGACTTGACTTCTGCGATTGACTTGTAACCGGTTCTAGTTCTGTGCTTCATGCGGTACCCAGATCACGGTCCGCAATCACCTCATCGTCTCGGGCCAGGCTGGTATAGGTGTCAGCGTGAGGCTCCTGGCCCTTCCTCCCACAAGACTGTCAGCATGGTCATCGCTAAGAGAATCCCCTGGTAGGCAAGAGCATTGCTGGACGTAAACCCGTTTCATCTCTCTGTAACGAAGTAAGCACTGCTTAGTCCCCCTAATTGTACAGTACAACCATGCTTAAATCCGAGCTCGAGCGCAGATTACCACTCGCTCACGAAGAACCGCAAACACCGTCCGTCACCGAATCGCAACCCACCACGGACCAAGATCTAAAGACATACAGGGGAGGCTGTCATTGCGGAGCGATCCAGATCACCGTGACAAGCCCGCCCCTCCGTCACGTCCAAGTTAAGGAAGATAATTGCAGTATCTGCCAACGGGTTAGTCATCCCCCCCCCCTCTTTCTTTTGCCCCATTTATTCTGCTAACTCGAAGGCGCAAGAACGCGAATGTATGCATCTACCCGTCGAAGTCAGCCGTGGCAATCCAAGATCCCCGCAACCAGCTCCGGGAGTATCGCTTCGGCCGGCAATTCACCGGCCATCGCTTCTGCGGCGTCTGCGGCGTGCAGCTCTACATGCATCTGCATGGACCCCCGGCGGCGGTGGCGGCGCGGCTGTCGCCCGAGAAACAGGAGCTGGTCAGGCGGAATTTGGATGTCGTGCCTGTTCGAGTCCCCGTGCTGGATTGGGTGGAGTGGGAGGCGATCCGGGTGGAGAGGGAGGATGAGGGGACGGAGGGGTATGTTTTGGGTGCCTGAGGGAAATGAGGATGAGGGCTAAGCTCCAGTGCGGACCGTTTGGGATTTGCGCCGGGGTGTAGTAGGTATCGGATCTTCTTATATGCTGCCAGAATGCGCGATATGTGCTTCCCCCAACCTCGGAAGCCAAGGTCCCTTGCGTGCATGTGGTGGGAATAGAGCATACGGTACTGAGGTAACAGTTCGTAATGTATGCATTCTGTGTTGTCGATGTTTCCCCCATCGGTAACACCAATAGTTTCGGAGCTACGGGCGAATCCGAGTCAGAAGCATCGATATTGCAGGGCTGGGTGTGTGTTGTTCTCTTTTTCTCACTTTGGTCGCCTGTGGCGTAATACCATCCCACGAAGCTTGCATGGTTCTGATCAATCATGGCCCACGACGGGGTGGTTATCTGGGAGAGGCTCTGCCCAGCATGGAAGGTGAGGAGCCAGATGAGCCAGATGAGAGGCGATCCCAGTTGTAACATCCCTGATTCTGCATCCATTCTGAGAGTTGAAGGAAGAAGCCCTCTTGCAGGGAAGGCCATTGCTCAAACAATGACGGAGGAAAAGTAATGGTCGTCATAAGGCAGCATTTTTCAAGTCCTGGTAGGTTCCCGGAATCGGAGGAGAAGAAAGGGCTTTCTGCTTCCTTCTTGGACTGTATGTCTGTACGTCGGCGACCTAGTCGACCCCAACATTCGCGATGTGCCCAGTTGCCCGCGTTGAAATCATGCACGAACTATTATTTCCCTTCCAAGTCGCTGGAACTACCGCGCAATCAGAACTCTACCTCTAGTCTGTCACCCAAGTCGGCTAGGGCTAGTGACTGCCAGATGAGCAGTTCCAGTTGTCATCTGTTGCTACCGGCTTGGCGCATTCCAGACCAGATGCCACGCAATTCTGGGAGGTGGGACTGCGGCCCGCTGCGCTCGTGCCATCGGTCGAACATGTCTGGTATTCCCGGAAACAGGTGTCTTATACGTGCATTGTATTGGCGGATCGGAAGTGCGGCAATCATCATAGAAGAGGCTGAAAAGTGTCGTCGGACCCGCACATAGTAAGAGCCAGAAGAGGACCAGATGGCGCTATCAGATACGTCCACGGAAGAACTCAATCATCAACTTTCGCTTACTGGGCCTCGAAGACGAGGATAGCAGGCTTATTTTCTCCGCCGTCTCGCGGGTCTTGGCATGATCGAGACCCAAGCTCCTCTCGTAGCCTGCATGTGCTCTCTGGTACATCGCCGTCGCTTTCTGTCCCTTCTGCTGAGCCCGGTAGAGGTTGCCAGATTACATGCAGTATCCAGTGTGACGGTATGATTGCGATCGAACTGCTTTTCAAAGCCGACCAGGGCTTGCTGGAAGCTTTTTTTCGGCTTCCTTTAGTCTGCCCTGGTCTTGATAGATCACCCCGAGATTGTTTCTGGCTCCGAGCGCTGAAGGATGGTCAACACTTATTGCCTCCCAGCCACTCAAGACAGCTAGAAACCTCTCTTCTGCCTCTTTCAGCCTGCCCTATTGTATGTAAACATTGCCGAGGCTGCTCAACGCGGCGAGCACGGGCGCGCTACATGCTAATTACTCCCTGGAATGTCCGTGTAGGTTATAGCAGTCTTTTCTTTATGACTGGAGAGTGATTGGGTCTTTCGGTTCGGGGGTTTCCCCTGGCTGCAAGTTCTAATTCGGTTCAATGATTGCTTCTCCCTTCACGGGGAGTATCCCCTCTGGCTGGCTTGAATCTCGACCCTCATGCCGCTGCGGAGGCCAACTTTGCCAGACCTCTCGTCGGGAATATTTTTCGCCGGGTATGACAGATCCAATACGGCTTATGCTCGTGTCAATATGGCTCCTTTCGATTGTTTCGAGAACAGAAACCCAAGAAGGGGATTTCAAAAGCTGTCAGCCAAGATCATCTGGCCATTGGAGTAGACACAGTTAGCTATAGCTCGAAGAAAAGAGAATGGCAAGGAATGCACTGGAAGGTGCTCAACTGTAGCGATTCATGAAGGGACAGTCCGCCTATGTGGTAATGAGCACAAACTCGCCAGTTTCTCGGCTGAGTACTTTTCAAACATACAACGCTTGATGCATGTGTATCATGGGCTCTGGTGTTTACTCCGCAATGATCTCAGGATATCCAGAAATACTTGGTATAGACGACAACTTCTTCGATCAGTGTCGCAATTTAGTTTGTCATAAGAACTCAGAGTAGATAGAGGCCAAAGCTGGGAGACTTTACACAAAAGATATCCTGATCTTGAGGCTGTAAAGTGGAATAAGGAGCGATGGATGAATCGAATGGTGCCTCGATAGATCTGATCCATCACCTCTGTTTGTGCTGTTTGTTCGCAGTAGGAAGGCTGCGGAGCCACCCACCTTGGAAATTCACACGCACTTGCTCCATGACTTTTACAACTCCTTAGCATCAATCTCAGATCGGGCGCGCGTCTGGAAATGAACTTCATGTCGTCCTGAGGCTTCCATCAATACAATAGGTCTCTACTATACCAACAAAGGATCCTTCTTCGAGTGACCTGCGCTGCGAGCCATATCCTCAACTCTACGCTCCAGCCATTGTTCCATCTAGTCGTTGGTTAGTGGGTGTCGGCGAGAACCTGCAGGCTGAGACTCACGTTGATGAACTTGAAAAATACCCAGCTGGCGACAGATAGAAGCAGAAGCACACCCCCAATGAGAGGATACCAACGCCAGGATGGGTTATCTGCCAGGATATCCACATTCATACCAAATAAGCTCTACACAAGGTGAGCAACCTGTTCTTCACTGCCACAGATGGAATACTCACAGAGGCGAAAGTCAAAGGAAGAAAGATAAACTGCGAGGGCACAGCTCGTCAGTGCTATGTTGATACTCTCCGGATGGCATCCTACCGTGATCCAACTAAGTCGTTTCATACTGGTTGCCAAACTAGTCGAGCGATGCGCTTCGTTGATCGACACCCAGGCAAATTCCTGTACATATCAGCGGGAAACACCGCGAAGATGAGGCTGGAGTTTCTTACAATCTGGAGCAGGTCGCGAACCGTCTGCTCCAGCTTGTCGATCTGTCCTGAGATATCCCGTTCAAGCTCAGAGATCATATCCTGCATCTGCTCGGTGAATCTACGCGTCTCACTAAACCGCTGATACTGGGCGACAAAATCTCGGACTTGACTAAGCTGCTCCGCCAGTAATCCCTGAACGTGAGTCCATCGCTGCATGTGCTTCGCTATGGAATCGATGAGTCGATCATCTTTCCCCCGAGCAGTCAACTGATGCGTGCGCTGCGAGTATTAGCACTAGCCGCCACTGAGCATAATGCCAATACTTACCAGGCGCCCGAGATACCTCCTGGCCTCTCGGCAGATCATTAACCAGTCCTCTCGCCAGGTCTGCATAAACAGTTGCACTAGTCCAAGATCATTTTGTGGGATCCATCCATAAGGTAGATTACTATAGTAGTGAATTGCTTTCGGTGGTGCCTCCAGCATTGCCCATTCGATAATTCGGACCGTGCCCTTCTCGTCGTCGTCATCCGTCAGCAAGTCTCCAATTCTGATGTCAAGTCGAATGAACAAAATGAATGTTCTACAAGGACTTTTGTGGCCCAAAGAAAAGTTCATCTCGTTGGGCGTCTCCGTCAAAGGGCAATACGTTTCCCAGACATAGTTCTCTCGGAAGAGCCTGGGCTAATGGTTAGTAACGAAGCCACATAACAGTGAGGTGATAGATGACCTACATCAGGTGGGTTTCGTCGACTGTCTTGGGTAGCGCTTTGATCTCTCTTTGTAAAATGTCGGCTGTTATCCACCGCGCCTTTCTGCGTCCGTCCCGCAGAGCCACCAGATCAACAACTACACTGGGCTTGATTCCACGGCTATAAGCCCCGAAGTTCAAACCCTCATCAAGATCCAGCATGTTCAGCCGATGATTCATCAAGGCGATCAGGCCTGCCCGGTCACGTTCTGGAATAGTCATATCCATCACTGGGATTGAATGTTGGCCTTGGGTGGGAAAATTGCGTGATGGCATCAGGTTCACAGTAGGTTTCCCTTCACTACAAGGGCCGAACCAGTCTCCGTTCTCCAACTCGTCAATGCGAGCTTTGTGCTCCAAGAGAGCAGCCACGGTGGGTCTATCGGCCTGCTGGAGTGCCATCCTCATTAAGGGAATCGAGCTGTACTCATCCTCTCCTTCTAGACTGGGCTTGTACCGTTCGAGGAAAGGTTTCAGTAGTCGCGCACGACCTTCCTGAATCATCACAGGCAAAGACACAACGTCCTTCTTTCGTTCCACATCATCTCCAACGCCCAGCATAAGCGTATCGGCCACTTCATAGTGGCTCCATTCCAATGCATAAATGAGGGGCGTTTTGCGATAACGATCGATTGAATTAGGGTCTGCCCATGTGGTTCTCAAAAGATGCTGGACCAATTCTTGATCACCACGCTCGCTTGCCCATGCCAGGAACGTACGTCGAGCTTTTGTCATAGGCTCAATTCCAGGGCCAGGCCCAAGCACCGTCAGCCATCTCTGAAAATCAACGTCGGGCGATGTGGCCCCATGCGCCAGCATACTTCTTCTGGTCGTGTTGCTGGCCAACCACCACAGAGGGATTTGTCCCTCGTGGTCCTGAATGTCTCCGCTGGCTCCATAATCTACCAACAGGCTCGCAGTTTTGAGATGCCAATGTTCGGCTGCCCAGGAGAGCGGGGTCCGCCCTCGCCCGTCTTTGCTATCTGGGTCTGCGTTACCCTTGTCGAGGAGGAGCACGACGATCTTGTCATAGCCCCGTTCAGCGGCCCGCGACAAGGGTGTGCGGCCCCGCAGGTCGGCCACCTCTGATAGCACGCCCTTTTGCAGCAGAAGCTCCACCATCTGCTCGTCACCGGCCTTCACTGCCCAATGCAAAGCGGTCTCGCCGTGAAGGTCCGCAAGGTTGGGATCGGCTCCACGGTCGAGAAGCAATTGCATCAATTGACCCGGACGATCGCGATCAGTGGCCGATTTCGCCTGCGCTAGGTCAAATGATGCCGCCCAGGAGAAGGCAGTGCGGCCAGATTGATCGCGTAAATCCGGAGAGACTCCATAGAGCAGGTACCGGACCTCGCTGAGCAAGCCGCCCAACGCGGCTTGCATCAGTTGAGCCGTTCGGTCTTCATCAGGTTGGAGAAACGCAGTGATCGGAGGCACGGTCATTCTTCGTTGGTCAGGGAACCATGTTATTGACGTGCCTTGTGAATTGTCGAAGTCGCGAATTTGTCTAATGTTAGTGTCGGCCCGTCAGCCGGGGCTGCATATTGATCCAGCCGCTTATTGGCGGGAATATGGTAGAGGGAATGCAAGCCGCCGAAGAGGCCAATCCAAATACTGCACAATCCCATCTTAGCAGACGATTGGGTTGAGCGGCACGTTCTCTGTTCTGAGGAGTTCGTGGCAATTCACCGGTATACGTTGATGCTGACATTTTCCCTGTCTATTCCAATCATGTATCATGTCTCCATCGCACGTATTTCGACCAAGCCGACGACCTAAACAGCAACAGGAAAGGTCACGCCCTACGACTCGACCGGCCCAACCGGTGTCTGATTTTGACGAATAATAGCGAGTACCGGGTACCATGGCGTTCACTATGCACCCCTAGCTTATTTATATCCGACATCGGCGCGAATCGTGGTGATAACGATTGATATACACCAGAGTCGAATATCCAATTGTGAAGCCGTTGAATGACGAGCTGGTCATCCCCGCAATCCTGCAGAAGTAAAAGGGTTTGGCCGCGGATGCAGCTCATGGGCTCCTGGAAATTGTTGAAATAGAGCTTGTTCCCTTGAAGAATCTGTTCAAGACGTGATTCTGTCGAGCCCTGTCAGAGCCTCGACACTGGCCCATGATATCACCCGGCACGTGAATTACTTCTGTACGCGTCTGCAGGAATGACTAGCGGATGGTACCTGATGGTGAATGTGCGCAGTACGTAAGAGCCTCGGAACTTTCCGTGGTGGCAGACGTTCACCTGACTCTGGACGCGCAGTACAAATGTTCGCTGCCTGGAGCAACGTGACGGCACCATATTCCTTCGATTGCCATTGAAGCAACTCAGCCGAAACCTGCTATCTCAGCTTTTTCGCCATGAGTGAGATCAGGCGTGCCTCATCCTGATTTTCAAGGATGCTTATCATTTTCAGCAGCATGAACTTGGTTGGTGACCAATTGATACGGAGAGATTTATCTCTAATCTTCTGGGCCAACCGCCCCAAATTGGCTTCAGAGCAAGCTCCACTGCCAAGACCGGACTCGACAGCCATGGATGCGATTTGGCTCCACTCTCCGCTGTCAAGTCAACGTTGGTTGGTCTATCGAATATAGCATTATCAGTGGTCGCAATGGTGTCATTCTCTCCTGTTTATCCAAGCCGGCTACTCATCTGCAGAATAACGCCATCCGCTGGTCGAGGTTGCATCGACACGGTGGCTATGTCCGATTGGCCATCCTGCACGCACTTTTCGCTTATGGTTCAGGAGAGGAATCCTTGCTTCGTTCCGCCTAGTGGATACTCGTCCGCTGTTCCATTACACCGTCGCATGTACTAGTCCACCGGTATACTCTGGTCGACTTCGCGTACAATGCATGCGTTGATCTGAGATGAGGGACACTAACGCTGCCGCTTGAATCTAATAGGCTTCGAAGTAAGCCGATGAAAGGCTAGGCAAGAAAGTCGGGGACGAAACTGCGAATGCTGGAATTCTGGCACCACCGCTTCTAATGGTCCTGGCTGCGTACTCTAGGCTTCTGATCGCACATTTCAGAGGCTCGTGCCAAGACTATCCCGTGGATGTTCCATCGGGCCTCCGGCGTGCTTAAGACTTAACCCGCCTATGAAGCTCCCCCGCTGTCTGACTAGCCGGTGTACCCAATTCGCTGTCTGGCGCGATCAGTGGGACAATAATGCCGCTCCAGAGGGCTCACGCAAAGGGCATCGGTGGTGCCCACGATCAGTTGGCGAGAGCCATAAAGCTCGAAAGCGCTCGCATATCATGCACCTCAAGAGGGAGCGGATTGGCGAGGAATAGCTTCGAGAATGTGAGGTCGTTTGTCTCTTGGAGGTTCAATTTCCCCGGCAGGAAGTTCCGTGTTCCATCTGACTGCTGCATATGGAATGCTCTGTGTTCCACCTTTTTCTTTGCCACAGGCCATCGGTTTCTCGAAAGACACTACAGCCGCTAGGGAAAGGTATGGGATACCTTCCCTGTCCAGCAGACATCGCCATGCTAGCAAGCAGGGGTAAGACGGTACCCACCAGAGGTTGACACTAATTATTGGCTATCTCCATTCTCCCCATGTCTTTCTGGGTGGATTGCTGATAGCCGACTCCACGGGAGCATACCCAATGCTAGCCCCGCTAGACGGGGGGCGACTCTTATCTGAATGGGGCGAGATGCCTTGTCTTCCTTACTTATTGTCTTTTCCTATATATTTCTACTCCGGACAAACTCTTGTTCTCGATCCGCGGAAAATTCCTCTTTCTACACTTGTGCTGTCGTTGTAAGGTGTACTCCTCTGCACCATCTGACACCATGAGCGACCCCGTCGGTCCTGACGACCTCGTCTACGTCGCCCAAGCGCACGTGCCTCAAAAAGAACTTCGGACACCAGAGAAAGAGGACGCTGTCATCACTGCAACCAGGTACGATGATGATGGCCGCGAGATACCAACGGCGGAGGAGGAGCAAAGCCTGCGCCGTGTGGCGGGCAAAGTGAAGTGGACTGCCTACACCATTGCATTCGTCGAGCTGTGCGAGCGGTTCTCCTACTACGGAACAACTGCTGTCTGTACGTATATCTGGCCGTCTCTATGAGCGCTGCTAACATCCATCAGATACCAACTTCATTCAGCAGCCTCTGCCTGCAGGCTCTGACACTGGTGCCGGAGGCAGTGGGCAGTCCGGAGCCCTCGGTCAGGGTCAACGAACATCCACCGCGCTAACCACCTGTAAGTTGCGTCGACGGTCATTCTTCTAGAAACGACTAACAGAAGTGTACAGTCAACACCTTCTGGTGCTACGTTATGCCCATTCTGGGTGCTTGGATCGCCGACGAATACTGGGGCCGGATGAAGACGATTCAGGTCGCCATCGCCTTCGCAATGCTAGGACATATCATCATTATCATCTCCTCCATCCCCCAAGTCATCACCAATACCAACGGTGCCCTTGCCTGTTTCTGTGTCGGCCTGGTCTGCTTCGGAATCGGTGTAGGTGGGTTCAAGTCGAACATCTCGCCGCTGATTGCCGAACAGCACCGCGAGACCAAGCTCTGGGTCAAGACCGTCCCCAAGACAGGGGAGCGAGTCATCGTCGATCCAGCGCAGACAATCACCCGCATTTTCTTGTACTTCTACTTCATGATCAACGTCGGTTCGCTGATTGGATCAGTGGCCATGGTGTACGCTGAGAAGTACGTCGGCTACTGGCTGGCCTACCTGCTACCGACCGTCATGTTCGGGTTCTGTCCTCTGGTATTGTTCGCGTGCCGTAACAAGTACCATGTGACACCCCCGACTGGGTCCGTCGCAGCGAAGGCATTCAAGCTGTGGGGACTTGCCCTGAAGGGGCAGTGGTCCTGGAACCCTGTTGTATTGTGAGTACCCTGTGTCTGTGCATTAGGGGAGTCGTGACTGACAGAGCACAGCGTCAAGCGATGCCAGTCCACCGAGTTCTGGGATAGCGTCAAGCCCAGCCAGTTGGAGAACAAGCCTCACTGGATGACCTTTGACGATCAGTGGGTGGACGAAGTGCGCCGCGCCGTCAAGGCCTGCGCGGTCTTTGCATGGTACCCTCTTTACTGTGGGTTCTCTCTTTTTATATTATCCCATAAGTCGACGCCGCTAACGAGTTGAACAGGGCTGGCATACGGCCAGATGACCAACAACTTGACTTCGCAGGCGGCCACGATGCAGCTTCACGGGGTGCCCAACGACATCATCAACAACCTGGACCCGCTGGCCCTGATCATCTTCATCCCGATCATGGACCAGTTCGTGTACCCAGGTCTGCGCAAGATGGGCATCAACTTCACGCCAATCAAGCGCATCTACGTGGGGTATCTGCTGGCGGCGGCCTCGATGATTGCGGCAGCCGTGACGCAGTACTACATCTACAAGCTGAGCCCCTGCGGCGACCATCCGAGCACCTGCGACGAGGCAGCGCCAATCAACGTGTGGGTGCAGACGGTGCCGTACGTGCTGATCGCGTTCTCGGAGATCTTCACCTCGATCACGGGGTACGAGTATGCCTATACCAAGGCGCCGAAGAACATGAAGTCATTAGGTAAGCTGCTATGCCACGCCCTTTTAGGGGTAGTCATGCTAATCTGATGGACAGTCTCATCGTTGTACCTGTTCATGAATGCCATTTCCTCGGCTATCCAGCAGGGCTTGACGGCGCTGTCGACGGACCCGTTGTTGATCTGGAACTATGGGTTCGTGGCGGTGCTGGCGTTTATCGGAGGAAACCTGTTCTACCTCACCAATTTGAAGCTGGACAAGGAGGAGGATGAGCTGAATAATCTTGAGGAGTCGCAGTGGGTGGGGCAGAGTTCCGGGGAATCCGAGAAGACCGTTGCTTAATTGTTTAATGGCTTAATTGCTTGATGTGCTTAATGGTGCTTGACGTGATATGTGTATGCTTATGATGTCATGTGGGGCATTGCCTGCAGTATGGGATGCATGAGTCTCTTGAGTCTGGACAGAGTGTACTTTAATTAATGTGATTGAGATTGAGTTGACCTGGGCTCTTGTATTGTTTATAATGATTTTCTGAGTACATCATTTGCATGTCTGTAAAGCCTAATGTGAGAGTTGAGGTATAGAGTCATCCTCAAGATCCGTTTGGTAGCTCCTCAATTATACTTAGACGTAGAGAAGTCCTCAACCCTTAACAAAACCCCTCAATCCCATCCATCTATACAACGGCCTACATCCACAAGTCCAGACAGATGTTATACATTGATGAAGATATAAACACTCATGAGCATGCATTAAGAAAGCGTGAAACCCGGCACCCAAATCTTTTCGGCCAAGAAGGCAAGAAAGCAAGAAAAAAAAAAAAAGAGGAAAGTGGTCCAAACCCGCAGACCACTCCAAGTAAGTCTATCAAGCACCAACACCACCATAAAAGACATCTACTCCTTCTCGCCCTCGTCCTTCTTTTCGGACTGACCCTTCTTCTCCTCCGCCTTAGCATGCCCCTCCAAATAATCATGCTCATAGAGACTCTGCTTCTTGCGCTTCAACCGCTCCTCCTCCGCAGCCACCATATCCTTCCACAGATCCCCAGTCTCCTCGCGATCACCACCCGCCGGGGCCTCACTCTTCTCCTGCTTGGCGGCCTCCTTCTCCGCCTTCGCCTTATCCAGCAACCCCTTCCCGCGCCTCTGATCCTGCAGCTCAAACGCCGCACTCGCCACCAACACCGCCAACGTCAGACCCTGGGCGTACACACGGGCCTGCACGATCTTCTGGCTGGACGACAAGAACTTATTCCGGTTGACCATGGCGAAGCTGCCGACCATGGAGGCCACCCAGGTGGCGCCGACGATCTTGTACTTCTCGCGCTTGGCCCAGGTCGTGATGCGATCAAAGGTGGACAGCGAGGCCAGCTCCTCCTGGCGCAGCCGCTCGTTGCGGTCCTTGTACCACACCTGGCTCGCGTTGCGGGAGGCCTCGAAGTCGCGCGAGGCGTGGTCCGCCGCGATGATGCCCACGAACGTGCCGGACGAGGTCACCAGGAAGGATTTCATCGGCAGCGTCAGGTTCCGGATCGTCGCGCTGCGCTTGCTGAAGGCCAGCACGCCGGCCACGCCGCCAATGAGGCCGAGCACGCCGCCGATGGTGCCGCCTTTGAGGACGGTGCTGTTTGTTTGGACATGAAGGTTAGTAAAGGCTTGCTTGGCGATTGAGGGTGTGAGAGTATTTGAGGATTTGGGGGGGGGATCAAGAATGGAAGCGAGATGGGGCGGAGGGGACAGCTTACCGGTAGTGAGCATCTTCTTCTTCCTTGGTGAGGATCTTCATGGTGCAATTGTGTTATCGATGCGGTGATGTAGATGGGGATGGGGATTAGATGCTCTCAATTATTTTCACACCAACACGGTAAGTATGTGCAGTGAGTGTGTGCAAAAGGAACTGTAGACCGTGGGAAAGTGAGAAGCAAAATTGTAGGACGCCGGCGGGGATATAAGGCCAAAGGCGAACAAGTCGCCCCGGCAAAGCAAAACCCGAGTGACGTCTTGCGAACCCGCAACGGGATCTGCGGCTCTGACTCGGTGTTTCCGCGGCCTTTGCTGGTCGACTCTGAGCAAGTCATCATGAGCGAATTTCACCCTTTCTCATAGGTTCTGCCCAATCTATCCATAGTATCACTTCGGAACTTGCCTGCCGAGACGGCGATTACTCGTGCTTTTTCTGGTACCGTACCCTGGTGGCTTGTTGCAGCTTCACTCGTACCATCAAAATCCCCCCGTATACATACCGGGTGTTATAGGAACGGATCGATTTTGTTGTCCATAGTCTGGTCTAGTCTAATCTAGCCTTATGGGCTGATCAATCCATCGCATGTCTTGTCAAAATTTCTCCTCTCTGCCTTCTCCTCCGTCTGCTCGCCTCGCCTCTCCGCACTAGTCACCTACTTGGTAAGCTTTAAATTAAATGATTACAATTCATTCCCAATTCCTGCGCCGTTCCCGTCCGTAAATAAATCGAATACGAGGCAAAGATAAAAACATATGCAATAAAAGCTACACCTCCAACACCATCAACCACAACCACCTTCCGCTATCGCCGGGATCCCTTGGATGCCGCAATCTGTCGCGCCCGCATCTTCCGGAATCGATCCTCGCCGCTGGCGCCCAAAGGTCGCGCAAACTTGCTCTCCTGTACCATCGTCGGTCGCGGCACCACCGTGTAACTCGTGTGAGTGAGGTCGGCGCGCGCCCGGTTCGCCAGTCGTGGGGGCAGCATTTCGCGCGCGCGCGCCTCCGCCACCGACGTTTGCGCCGATTTGGGACGGGATGTGCCCAGTTGACTGGTTGAAGTTAGCAGAGAGTACAGAAACTGCGATATCGAAACGATCGAAAGCGAACGATCGAAGACGGAACCGCGGCAAACAAGAGGGGGAACAGGGGAAACATACGTAGGATCAAAAGCAGCCTCCTGGTACACCCGCTTGGAATAGTCGTCGCTGCGCTGCAGGATCGGACGCGTCCACTCGGCCAGCAGGCGCTCCGCCATGCGCTTGATACCTGGCTCCGGTCGCTTGCTGCGCGTGTAGAATACAATCACCTTGCCGACCCCACTGGCGATCAGGGTCTCCTTGTTGATCGGCAGCTTGCCCAGCGCCGTCATCAGATCGCGCTGGATGTTGTAGGCGGGGAGCGAGCCGTCGTCCAGCGGCTCCAGGAAGAACTTGACGGCCTCGAGCAGGTTGATTTCCGGATCCACCAGACTGTTGACGTATTGGTTGCGGTTCAGCAGCGAGACGACCTCGGGGAGCATCTTGAGTTTGTGCATGGCGGGCTTGCCTTCGCGGCGGTTGATGGCATCCATCTGTGCGGCGTGGGTCATGCGTTTGCGCATATCTTCGATCTCAGCATCGGCCATTTGTTCCAGATCCTATACCCCGTAAACCATTAGTTAAGAGTCGCCCCCTCTCAAAACAGCGTAAAACATTTCCAGAAAAAACATACAATACCATCCGCCTTCCGGAACCGTCTCTTAGTTGGCTTCTTCATCGCCTCATCCATAGCTCGATCGAGCGCTCTCCTCCGCCCTGCAGGTCCCATCAAGATTAGCAACCCACCCGGATTCTCCTCTTTCCACCGCAAGAAGAAGGGGACCCAAAACTCACGCGTAGCAGGATCCAAGGTCTCATCATCCTCCGGCATCACCTCCTTCTTCTTCGACGCGCCCGCCCGTCGCCGCCCGGCCTTGCCTGCGCCGCCTTCCTCGTCGCTGGCCCCGCCGCCGTCCTCCAGCTCGCGCATCCGCCGACTCTTCTTCTCGCGCCGGCCCTCGCGCTTCCGCTTCGACTGCTCCCCCTCGGCCCCCTCCGTGCGCTTGCGCTTGTGCCGCCCGATCAGCTTCAGGTTGTCCTCGTCGATGGCCAACTGCGGGCGGTCCTCGATGTCGACGTTCTCCGGGTCGAAATCCTCGAACTGCGCCTCGTCGACCTCCGACAGGATCGACTCGTCGTCCGAGTCGCGGGCTTTGCCGTCGTCATCTTCTTCGTCTTCAAGCTCCGAGGCAGCTGCGTTGTCTTGGGGCTGGGGTTGGGGGTGGTCGCTTTCTTCGCCGCCGGCGTCCGGGGTCGGGGCACGGGCGGATTCATCTTCGAGGACCGGGGAGGCGGCTCGTTGTTGTTCTGGGCTGTTGGGTGCGGACATCTTGGTAGAGTCTGTGGGTTTGTGTGGTTGTGTGGTTGTGCGGTGAGAGTGTCCTGGGGACTGGAAGGTGTTGTGTTGGTTGGTGGTTCAGGGAGATGTGGATGTGTGGTGTGGTTGTTGGAGGGACTTGTTGTAGGTAGATTCCAGCCTGAGGCAGTATCGCAATGAAAGAAGAACTTCTCTCCTGACTCAAGCTTTGCTCCTGTGAGTAATATAATAAGTTCCGGAAACTGACAGACAGATGACGATTGACGAAGGAAACGAAATGGATGAAATCCAAGAAAAGAGACTGGCGGCGCCGCAAAGGCAAGTAAAGGATGGGCTGGAGGAATCCGTTCCGCCTCCGCAGGTTGGTCCGTGCTCGGCAGAATCTCTTTTCCTTCGGGGTTCAAGCTGATTTGCATAGACCATAGAAACCAGCCCATCCATCTCTGCCATTACACAACTCTTCAACTCGCTTTCTCTTTCACTTTTCATACACATTATCTCTCACAATGTTCGCTCCCGGTAGGTCTTTATCCTTTCTTTCGACCCATGAGAGCAAGTTACTAACACTCATCCTTCAGGTCAGGAACAGCTCTCCAGAGAGGACATCAAGGTAATTCTCCTTGCCCGATCGCTATGATCCCATCCATGCATGCCCAGGGCCATGGCCATGCTACATACAGTCTGGACAGCAGAGCTAACAACCAACAACAGGCTGGTGAGGCCCAGGCCAACCAGACCGTCCGCATGGCCATCACCGGCGGTGTCCTCCTCTACCTCTGTATGTTTCCCGCTCTCGCCGTCCTCTTTCCCACCCATCCATCCAAAGCTAACACTGAGGCCTCCGTACTGCAGCTCCCTTCGCCGTCGAGTTGGTCAAGAAGTTCCTGTAAATCATACAGCATCCGTTCGATCGATCATCCATCCGGCTCGATGAACCCGAAGATCCTCCTTCTACCGGACTAGAAGACTGTGATACTGGATACAAGGGCAGTGGTGGACATGAAACCTGTTTTTTTTTTGTGTATACTAGACCCATTGGAGGGAACTCCTTTTTTCGACCTAGAAAGAGAAAATCTTGCGTATGTTTCTACCTCGTCTCGACTTTGCGCTTAACGATAAGTAAGAAAGGATCCCTAGCGCAAACGCGCGCAGGTTAATGTTGCGGATACCAGCTCCTCGAAAACTCCGGTCAATTGCTTTCCCTCCCCAATCAAATCCAGCAAAGAAAGCAGCAACTAGAAAGCACACCCCGTTTCGTAATAGATTGAACTCAAAGAGAAAGGCATGAGAATAATAAAACACTACATTAAATGGACCCCGCCGCCGGGGAGCTTCTGCGACTCTTCGAAATCCTTCTTCACCGACTCCAGCTCCTTCTGTAGGTGCTGAATCTGCACGTGGTAATCGTCCAATATCTACCGCGCCATGTGTTAGCGATCAAACTCCACCTGTCTGACGGGAAATCTGTCTGCTTACCTTCTTCGCCGTCTTTAATGTCTGCTCATCCAACTCATCCTCCGCCTGAGCTGTGGCCTTGGGTCCCGCCCGCTCCATCTCCTGCTGCAACCGCCGCGAATGCTCCCGGATGGCCAGCATGCGCGCCCAGATCTCCTCCCCGCGGCCGTTCAGCGACGGGTCGAAGACCGACCGTTCCAGCTGTGTCAGCTTCTTCCGCAGCTCCTCCTCGGCATCATCCATCGCGTAGCCGCGGTTGCGCAGCACCTGGGTCTTGGCCGCCAGCGTCAGGCACCGCTTGCTGAGAACGAGGTGTTTCCGCCGACATTCGGCGATGCGCACGCTGATCTTCAGGTCATGCCGCGACAGGAGCTCGGTCAGGCAGTTGTTGATCTCGTGCATCCGGGTCTGCAACATGGTAAGGAAGTCTTTCTGGCGCTGCGCGCGCTTGCCGAGATCGAAGAATCCCTGCACCAAAACCGGTACATAGCCCGGCTCGGGTCGTTTGCGGAGCGCATCCTCCCACTTCGCCTCGTCGTCTCCCTGTCCCGGCTGGTAGAAGGGCGCCGCGTCTTCGCCGACGTTGTTGTACAGGTAGGTGCGGAACGGGGACGCGCGGTTGTTGGGGTCCCATTTGTCCTTGACAATTTGAATCTGCATAGGAACAGTGCGGTGAACTTGTGTGAGAGGGGGGAAGATAGTCAGTACATTTTGAAAGATACCATAATCGAGATAGAGCACCAACCTCCCGTAACGGCCCGTCCAGGTTCCCAAAGACTCGACCCCAGTTGCGATTGCTGTTGTGCATTGGACTGTCCGAATTGCAACGTCGACCCCATCTGTGTCCCTGGTACCTGTTGCTGTTGCTGTTGACCTAGCAGGGAGCTACCGAACAGGCCTGACTGTTGTTGCTGCTGCTGCGGTTGCGCCTGCTGGCCAAAGAGACCGGTGCCCTGAGGCTTCTGACCCAATCCTCCGAACAGACCTCCGCCTCCTAGTCCTGACGCAGGCTGCGTCTGTGTTTGTTGAGGCAATGCGCCGAACGCAGGTTTTTGCGGGTTTGCATTTGTGTTTCCAAAGAGGCCGCCGCCTGTGGTCGATGACTGCGGGTTGGTGTTCGCGGCGCCGAACAAGCCGCCTGTATTTGATTGTTGCTGGGTGCCGGCTGCTGTGTTTTGTCCAAAGAGGCCACCACCGGTCCCTGTCGTAGCAGCGCCAGTTCCTGCGTTGCCAAACATACCACCGCCAGGTCCTTGTTGAGCATTGGCGCCGAAGGGGCTGGGTTTCGAGTCCGCGCTGGGATTACCGAAGAGAGAACTGCCACCCGAAGGTTGAAAAGGTGTTTGACCGAAAAGGGACATGATGTGTGGTTGTGTTTGAGAGAGGAAGGGGTCTCGGCCGGTTGAGGTGAAGTTGAGGAGAATGAATCCAAGCTCCGAGCTGGTATCAAACAGAAAAGAAATGGAACAGCTCAGCGATTAAAGTATTAACAGCTGCGAAACCCTTGAGCCAAATCTATTTCCCGTGGAACAACAATCTCAAGTAGTGACCAGGACCTACACAGCAAACCTCGAGACCGAGACAAACACGAACAGCAACGGCGATGCGGAGAGCTGCGACTCGAAGCGCTTTTGTTCGGGGCAACCGCTTTGTTTTTCGCAGGTCACGTGCAGTCAGCTCACGCCGGGACTATATAATGCCTGAGGCACTGAAAAGCTCCAAGGCCACAATTCCTGCGCCCTCTCATGCCTCAGGCATAGGATATTTTTGCATTACCTAATCCCTCATTTCGCAACCAATCAGCGCCCAGCAAAAACCGACCTTCCAAACCTCTCCGCCGCAGCTTCAACTCATCGTCGTCGACCTTGTACTGCCCGCACCAAAACCGCCCTCTCCTCCTCCTCCTCCGGAATTGCATCCCACCCTCCCCAATTGCCATTGACCTACCCTCTCCGGAAACACCCCAGAAACAACCGTCACCATGGCCCGCCGCGAGTCCAGGTAAACCTCCCCCCTCACCTCCTCCTCTTAACAACGGCCAGCCGCCGTGACTCTCTACATCCGAATACCTCCATAATCCCCAAACCCACACCTACATATACCTACCCTCGCAACCACCAATTCCCCCCAATTAGGCCCCCGAACCCCCCTACCACTCGCTCCAGATCCTTCTGCCTCATAAGTCGTCAAGCTGAAGCTCACAAAAATATGGCAGATTCTCCCAACAGGTGCTGGTCGACACCACGCCGATGCCCGACCACATCCCCAAGGTGGAGGAGATCGGCGCGACGTCCGCCCCGCTGTTCAGCGCCGCCTACTTCATCGGCGACCGGTGCCGGGCCTACAACGACGACTTCATGAAGTGCAAGGCCGAGGCCAACGGCCGCGGCGAGCTGGAGTGTCTCAAGGAAGGGCGGAAGGTGACGCGCTGCGCCGCGAGTGTGTACGTCGGTCCATTTCTTTCTGGGGGGGTATCAATGGAGCTTTCTCTCTCCTTTGCCGGGGAGAGGCGAGCGACATACTCTCAATTGACCCCCCTTACTGCCATCTTGCAAAAGGACAGCAGACGCGACAGGAAACAATGGCTAATGGGGCCACGCCGCAAACAGGATCAAGGACATTAACACCCACTGCCTCAAGCAATTCACCGCCCACTGGGAATGTCTCGAGCAGAACAACCACCGTCTCTTCGACTGCCGTAAGGCCGAGGTGAACTTGAACGCCTGCGTGTTCGACAAGTTGGTTCGTTGATCCCCTCTCCCCTCGCTCTTAGGCTTGTCCTTGTTTCTCTCGGGTCCCCTGCGATTCGGGCCCCCGAGGTAAGCAACCGGTATTAACGAGCAACAAACAGGGCCTCAAGAAAACCATCCCCGGTGCCCCCGAAGATCAAACCCCCGTGCACCTGCGCCCACAACAGATCTTCTCCCGCTATCCCGGCCGGCAGTGGCAAGCGAACGAGGATGGGACGCCCATTCTCGACAAGAACTAAAGCAGGGGTTCAAGTTTCGACGTCTAATTTCCTTTTTTCTATGGCCGTGCGGTCTTGTTTTTCCCAGTTTCTTTGGTCTATGTTTCGAGGTGTTTCCGCCCATTGGTTTCCGATCGAAATGGCTCTCGTGTGTGTATGTGTGTGTGTGTATATATATTAGCATCAGGAATATTCATTTGGTATCAGAAGATGATCTCTCTCCTTGGGGTTTGTGTGTAGTCAGTGCGTGGCGTGGTGATCCTGTCTAGATGCTGCTACATGATAACATTGTGGTTTAGTGCACAGTACACTGGCTCTCACGACAGACAAAAAGAAATCTCGATGGAGGATGAACCAACAAGAAGAAAAAGCATGTCCACCATCAAGATGTCCACGCCATGCATACATACAAAACAACAGAAATATATAATATATACGAGAACATGGAGACCACAGGAACCCAACACCTAACGGGAGAGTCTCAGATTTCAAGAATCACCTCGAGGTATCCTCTTCCTCCGCCAGGGCCTCGTCCGCGCCAATCGATTCTTCACCTCCGCCCACCCAACCTTGAGCACGACCTCCAGCCGCCGGTCCCCGCGGAGGCGCATCCACACCCACAAGATCCCCAGGAGGCCCAGATCCACCATCACCTGCCGGAAACACACCCACAGGAACCAGCGGACCCAGGCCCAGACGCCCGAGCGGCGGCGCTGGGCCCGCGCGCGCGCCTCCATCTGCTCGCGCACGGCGGCGATCTCGGCCGTCATCGTCGTCAAGGCCTGCTCGACGCGGCGACGCCAGGATGCCGGGGTGGGAGGGGGGGGCGGCGGTCGTCGTGACCTCCCTCTGGACGGGGGATCGGGGGGTTCTATTGCCTCGTGAGGATGGGGTTGTGGTCGGTAGTCGTTCTCCTCCGCATCGTCATGGTGATGGTCGTCATCGTCTTCTTCTTCATAAAGATTATCCTGAGCCTCCGCGTACACCTCTTCCTCGTCCTCGTCCTCCTCCTCCTCCTCCTCCTCCTCATCCTCCTCATGGTCACGGTCGACCTCATCATCCCCAAACCCCTTGGAACGCGACCGAGCATACGCCCCCGGCTGACTTACAGGACTCATCACCCTGAGCCCCGAGCCCTCCTCGCGACCACGTCCGCGCCCACCATGTCGAGACGCCGCCTCGCCTTCCCCCACCGACGTAGCAAGAAGCCACCGCGCATACTCCTCGCGCGACAAGCGCCGCCCCGACGCAGAAGCAGCAGCACCACCGCCACCACTCGCCCCTGCCGACCCATGATGTGACCGGAAGTCCGCCAATCCCTGGCTCCTCAGAACGGCCTCCGACCCAGACTCCGACGACTCCAGCGAAGCGGTATTCGACTTGATCTGATCCCAGACGAACTCCAACTCGGCGACCAGCTCGCGAGCCTCGGCCGTCTGCGACGCATACTGATGCATCGTCTCGATCAGCGTGGAGATGTACCGGCGTTTGGCTTCGGTGCGGGAGAGACCGCGCTGGGCGTACCATGTATCCCTAGCCCATACGTATCAGCATTAGCATTAGCATTAGCAATTTGAAACTCCTAAACCAAATAACTTGGAGACCTCCTGCCATTCAACCCAGAAACCCCTCCCAAATTGAGCAGGCAGAAAAGACCAGGAAGAATAAACATACCACTTCTCGCACTCCATAAACACATCCGGAGTATTCCCCACCGGCCGATCCATGACACCTTCAACGTCACCTTCTACAGATCCACGAAAACATCAACATAAGAAATTAAAATCAAGGTTTCGCCCCACGGGTTCTTCCCCCCAAACCAAAGCCTAGCCCTCACTCCCTCCCCAAAGGGATAAAAAAAACATACCCATACTCTGCTTATACAAGCCATACAACTTCAACCGCTCTGAGGCGGGCGGACGCGCCGTCCCCGTCCGCGGAATCCGCTTAACTGTGTTGAGGGCGTGGACGAAGACGCGGTCTGAAGAGTGATTAGCATCTGCTTTCAACCGTTTGTTTTGGAATGTGTAATGCGCTGGAAGTAAAGAAATCTCGCGGAGCTCGGGATGATAATGACGCCGCTGGGCGAGACGGCATCCAACCGTCCTAGGGATTGAAGGAATACCGGAACCGTTACAAGACACATGACAACCAAAATATGCTAGGGTTTGGGGGACAAACGCACCCACTGAGTCTGACATGATTCAACGCGCAACAACAACAACAACGAACTGAAACCCGAATGTAGTCTGGTCGAGGGTGGCTTCATGAGCGCAGTGGTGGGTGCGGATGCGGAGGCAACGGCGAGAGCGGAGTCGGTCGTGGGTGTAGCAAGGGGGTACCGCATCGGTGGGGGACTTCCGCACGACAAGATATTCAGAGCGATAATTCGAAGCTACTGATCGTTGTGTTTATTTTACCCTGAGGTGAGAGGAGGGAAGAGAGATCGCGAGAGTGGTCTAGTCGCGCGATTGGGATTGCAAGGGAAAGCGAAGCTTCCCCGGATTTCGGAGGTCGAGGATGAGCGAGATCGATTAGATATGCGCGTCACGAAAGGGAGGGAAGGGGGCGAATGGAGTCTGAAGTTGGAGTGGAATTGGTGGGAGGAAATGGAGAACCCGATCTCTCAAGGGAAATTGTGTCGAATGGAGGAGAGTGTTGTTGGAGGCTGCAGCATGCAGGGTCAGTCAGGCCGATAAGTGTTGTTGGTTAAGGTAGTTCGGTTGATGCTGGATTGGAATGGACTGACTGACGGATTCGGCTCAACCGCGGCTGTTTCGGCCTCGGAGGTCCCGCCCGTGATTCTGTGGGCTCCCCCACTTCTTCTTCTATGCCATCCTTTGCCAGCCTGGGGTGCTGGGCAATTTCTATGATGTACATATAATCTCAATCCTCATTCTTCTACAGAGTGTTTGGATCTAGAACAAGAGGTACTCGTAATTGCTAAGTTACCAGTGAATAGCCAGTTAGATACTCAAAGATATATTTGCGTACACATACACGCAGTAGTCACAGAACCAGTTATCATACCAGAACACAGAATAAATATGTACAAGAGGTAACCACTGCATCCCGGAGGAACAGGTGAATTAATTCTTCGCCGAGCTACTGCTCCGCCCTTTCTCCCCCTCCGACAGGACATTCTCCGGATCCACCGGTTTCCCCGTCATCACCCCAGGCATCCCGTCCGCTTCCTCCGCCACCGGCGGGCCCGTGAAATGCTTGCGGGCATACACCACGTACCAGCCGATACTGATGGCCGCGAACCCGGCAAACACCACGCTGGCGTAGTTCATGCTGCTGGAGTCGACCGGCAGCGACACGGGCATGCAGAACAGCACCACCGCCAGCACGATCCAGCACACGGCCAGTCCGTTGATCGCGTACCCGAACCGACCCAGCGAGAAGCTCGACTCGCGCACCGCGCGACGACCCCGACACATGAGGATCAGGATCGGCAGTCCGTAGGACGTGGACAGGCAGATCGTGGCGACGCCCGTGAACGAGTTGAACGCCGCGCTGGAGCCAAAGTAGATCAGCCCCAGGAGACAGTCCACCGCAGTCGACAGGACGATCGCCCACACGGGCACGTCCAGACGCTCGTTGACCCGGCGCCAGAGTCGGAAGCCGGGGATCGCCCCGTCGCGGGCAAAGGCGTACGTGCAGCGGCTGGCGGCTGTCAGGGCGCCAATGCCGGCGAACATCAAGATCCCCAGGATCAGGAACAGCAGACCGAAGCCGCCGCCGGCGGAGCCCGTGGCCGTCTTGAAGATTAGCCCAATCGGTTGTCCGCTGGCGACGTCAAGGAGCGACTGCACCGAGGGGAGGACGAACAGGATCGGAATCAGATACACCAGGCCCGTGACACCGGCCGCAGCCACCGACAGGACAATGGCCTTGGGCACCTCGCGGTGCGGGTTCTGCACCTCCTCGCACATTGAGGCCACCATGCCGTACCCTGTCAGCGTATACGCGGCTTGCAAGAGTCCCACGAAGAAAGCCCAGCCGGACGGCCTATTTATCTGTCAGCTTCAAGAAAAACCCTTCCATGCCAAAGAGGAAACTCACCAGCCACTCTGCGAAGAGTCGTAGTGCGCAAACACAAACTCAGCATCCCGACGATGATCCGCCATCGTCAAGAGAGTAACCAATATGATAATAACGCTAGCCGCAGTCCAATAGATGCACACCTTGTTGATCAGGTCCAGGTACTTGGAGAAGAAGATATTGACGAGCGCGCAGACAAGAATGACCGCCCAGAAGGTGAGGATCGTCTGCCACGCGTTGGCCACAAAGTCCTCATTCCACAGGGAGATGGCGCTCAGGATCAGCTGACCACCGGAGAAGGTAATGCTGAGGGTGACGGTCCAGTTGCCAACCAGCGTCAGCCAGCCGTCGATGAAGGACAGCATCGGGGCCCAGCGTCGGGTCGGCAGCATGGCACTCCAGTAGTATACACCTCCGGCGGTAGGATAGACGGCGCAGATCTCAGCAAGCGATGCGGCGATGGCGAGGGAGATGAATGTGACGAGGACCCAGCCCCAGATGATGGTCACCGACTGGCCATCGGTGAGGGTGATGTAGAGGGTGGTGCTGAGACCGAAGGGCGCGGCCATGATCGCAAAGGACCTGTTTTCTCCCATCAGTCAAGCTTTCCAACCGCAGTCCAGTTCATCGTTCGCATACAGGCCTAGAATACTGAGCATGCTCAAGTTGCGCGGCAATTCGCTCTTGTACCCCATGCGAGCCAACGCCTCATCGGCATTGGCATCCACAGAGGCTTGACGCATATTGATGGATGGATGGGAGTTGAGAGGAGAGCTTCTACTCAAAGGTTGTCATCGCAGGTCAGGTAGAGTGGTGACTAGAATTGAGAAGAAGAGGAGCGTAGCGAATGCGACCAGGGTAACCCGCGAGGAAAGAAGGAAGGTGAGAGGAAGGAAGGTGAGAGGAAGGAAGGAGGGAGTGTATAAATGGGGATGATGGGATGAATAGAGTGAGTAAAACAGGAAATAGAGGTGGAGGTGGAAGAGGAAGAGGAAGTGGTGATGGTGAAATAGTGATAGGAATGTTCCCAGCAACTTGGAATAGTGCAATGAAGTCAGTCAGTCCGTATGTACTCCGGACTCATTAAGTTACTGGAATGCTTAATTCCCCCGCACGTCACCCATGACCATCTTTTCCCTTTCTTTCCTGCTTTCTTTCACCACTCAGCATTTCTTCCCACTCTCTCCAGACTTGCACATGAAAAGGACCCATCGTTGAACTGGGGAGGCAGACGGAATCTACCAATCACCGCTGAGCAGGCTCGATAAACTCCTTCACTAAGAGACTCCGGTGTCGGGCTAAACGCCCTAAAAGGGGCGCGGTCCGAGACCGCGCTGATAAGCAGAAACCCAGAACGATAAGTCAATAATGATCAGACAAGCCCATTAGTTCGGGCTATGAAATGCATCCATCCCTACGCTTATCTGCCTTGTCGATACAGTCAGTCCGTCTCTTATCGCGGTTCTCCATAATTTTCCGACTCCCTGCAAACATGCCTCCCAAAGACACTTATTAGGGCGGTCACGCAATTGAATTGGTGAAAAGTTCACATGCGGACCGCAACTCCGGCTGAGACTCATGCATGACTGACCGGTGGAGAGGGACGAACACCTCGTGTTGGTAGAGCCACCTCCTCCTCTACCTCCTCAACCATGGCGCTGTCCAGTCTGGCTCCCCGCGGGGTAATTCCAGCTTACTTCCTAGGGTTCCACCTTAGGGCCCATCGCTGCCTGATCCAACGACATAGCAAACTACAATAAACTACAATAAACTACATCAACACAAGGCAGGCACATTTAAATCTCTAACTAATCGATGATTCACGGCTATCCATTTGCTAGGTACATACAGCACAGTGAATTGTCACTATTCCAGTGACGGCTGCCACATCGCTTCACGGAACGCACCCATGCGGGTTCGTCCGGCAGATGAGCGCCAAACTGATCCTGAAAGAGGAGTCCAGTGGTGGAGGAGAAGGGGATAAAGAGTGACGGACCGAGACAAGAATAAGAACCAGGGGAAGGGGGCGGGGCGGGGGCGGGGCGGGGGCATATGGGGGTATCAAACACGAGGCTCACTATTAGAGACACGTCGAGGCATTTTCTGTTCATCGAATATGGGAAATGAATGCTTTTTTTTCGAGCGGTTTTTTGGAGGGGTGTGAGGGGTGGGTGATGTCTCTAGTATATGGATAAACCTGTCTTACTGGAGCGGCATAGGCTCCAATAGCTCTCCCATCGCTCGGATGAATAGAGGATCCAGGTAGTGGTGATAGGGGGACAAAAGGTGAAACGTGCTGAAAAAATAAAGGTTTGAAAAAGGACAAGGGAAAGAGCAATCGAGGCCAAATCCGCCGAATGGACAGTGGGAATGGTCAGTCCGATCATCAAGACGCTTCACATTAGGCGAATGGCCACCTGGCCTAACGACGCCCACCGCCATTTGATCCTCCGGTCGTGCGGATTCTTAAAACGGTCGGATTTTGGCATCCACCCCTCAATCCCTGAGAGAAGAAAATAGAGGAGACAATCAAAGGCCTCATCGAAACAAGGCCCCAAATGGAGGGACCACTAGCCAGCTAGGACCGATCCGACTGTGAATGATTATCGTCCGGATGGAGGAGAAAAGAGGCACAAAAATAATCGCAAACGCCCAGTCATGCAGTCGTCAATCCAGATAAGTCGTTACATGGTGATAATGGTGAGGGAAAAAGTTGAGGATGCAAAACGTCATCGCAGGCATATAAATCGAGTGCTGGGTAGGCTGCTCCGTGGTTAGGGGCTGAGCACCGCGCCAATGTCTTCCGTCCCGTCCATGCCGAACCCAGCCATATCGACTGAGTGCAAAGAACCCGGACCTCCGCGGCCCAAGGAGATATCGGACGACGCATAATCATGCTTAAGTCGTTCATGAGGGCCAAAGAACGGTCGACTCTCTTCGTTCGGAGTGTTTCCATCGCCGGCGGCCCACGGCCCATGCTGCCAAAACCTCGTATTCGCCTGTTGATCGCCAAAGAGATCATGGTGGTCATGATGGGTTTCCGGGCCGTGATGAGCAAAGTCGTTTGGGGACTGGAACCGCAGATGCGACCGGCTGAAATTCGAGCAGGGAGAATCGGCGTGCAACGGCAGGTCCAAGTTCGGGAACGGCATGTCCTCCACCGTCGTGATATCAATGGTTGGGTTCTCCGTCTGTCGAGCTAGGGCTGTTGCCAGGCGGAGGTTAGAAGCTGAACTTTGACGGCTATGGCTGGCGGACCGTTCGATGGCCCGTTGCACGAAACTACCGCATGTCTTCAGGATCTTCTCTTGGTCGGCAGGAGAGAGGCTGGCGAAGAAGTCGTTGGCGAGAGAAGGCCGGGGCAGTTCGGGTTCAACGCGGGTGAGGCCGAATGTCTTCTGCGCATACTCCGTGAAGCCAGACGGCATGTCGTAGGGAGACTGGTAGACGGTCGGGTTCTGCTCACGCTGTTGCTCGAGATAAGCGTAGGTGCGTGGCACTTTCGAGAGCGCCAAGCCGCTGCCGTTCACCGCCTCTTGCTTGATGGGTTCCGGCTCCTTCTTTTGCAGCACATCAAGCCGGTCCCGATGACTCACCAACGAGAAGCGGAGCATCTGCAACAGCCGAGTCACTTCCTCCGATCGCATGTTCAGGGGTTGTAGCGAAAGAGCAGAGCCATCAGGCGCCCGGGGTTGTACCCGCTGTTGAGCCATAGCCAGTTCCAACTTCTCCAGGCCATTAGGCGGTGGGACGGATCCCATCGGACCCAGGAGCGTGTCAACAACCATCTCGGGGCTGACAATGGTATATCTGGCGAAGACATTGGCATGGTCGGTAATCTGGGCCAGGCGACGGCGAGCGATTAGCTCCCGAACATTGGCAAAATTATTCGCAGGAAGGTGATGGTGGTGATTGTTCTGCTGCTGCTGCTGCTGCTGCTGCTGCTGTTGTAATAAATGGGATGGCGGATAATGATGGGTGGGATGAGCCTGGGAGTGTTGACGAGCATGAGCCTGCAAATGCGACTTGGTGACGTGCGGGTACGGGGCATGACGGGCAGATTGCGTTGGCAGGGTACGGTAAGCAGACGGCATCGCAGCAGGAGGCGGAGGAGGAGCAGCAGCAGCAGCAGAAAGCGCAGGGCGTGGAGGGGCAAGAGAAGAATGCTGCAGCAATGAAGGGCGGGGAGCAGCAGCAGCGACGGCGGCGGCAGCGGCAGCAGCGGCAGCGTTAGTGTGAGTATGCGTAATGTTGTTGGCGGCAGCGGCAGAAGCAGCAGCAGCAGCAACACCGACAGCAGAGGCGGTGGGCAGCGACAGAAGATGGTGGTTGTGAGGAGGAACGCCAGCAAGGTGAGGGGCATACGGAGTCGTGGCAGGGAGACGACGATGGTGGGGTTGGTAAGAGGGGGCCCGGGCCATCACAGCGCCAAGGGACTTAACGCTGTCCAGGAAATTCGCCCGCTGGTTGTGGACAGGCACAGTAGGGTTGTGTGTATATTGAGCCCTACATTCAGTGGACGATTCGCCCAGATAATACCAGATCTTCTCGCCCTGCATGAGGTTGATGGGCGCCGACGGTGGGGCAATGTGGTAACTAGTGCTGTCCACCGTCTCGAATTCGGCCCACTGATACGGGGAGTCTCCATCACCAAACGGATTTCCTGCCACCGGCACGGCTGACTCCAACTCTTTCCGGCTCTCGGGCTTCCGAGCCAAGTGGGCAGGAAGAGGCTTGGTTCCTGGTGCCAGCGGTGAGAAATTACTCCGTCGAACCACGAGCATCCAGCGGTATGGTAATTCGATTACATCCCTGTGCGTCGATCACATCAATCAGTCAGTCAGTCAAACAGTCCGTCAGAAATTCCCATCACTGCATCATCGTCGTGATAACACCAATCGGGTAATTGCCAAACAGCAAACAAGCGGGGGAGGGGGGAGGATGCTGTCTTACCCTCGAGGGAGCACCTTGACCAGCAACATTCGTTCCTCAGGTCGGTTCTCGAGCACCACCGCCCCATTGATTTCCTTGTCCGCCTGGAACTGCACTAGCTCCCCAGCCACCAAACGCCGGGCGGTTTGCATGAGTTTGCGGTCGAAATCGAGCGAATCGCTGTTGCCCATCCACGACGGTTTCTTTTGGCGGTGGTACTTGCATTTAAGGTCCACGCTAGGAATCGAATACTGCTCGCCATCGTCGGCGATCACGGCGATCACACCTTCCTCCACTTGTACGCCAGCCAGAAGCGCACAAGTGGCATGGTAGGAGCGGGTACATTTGCCGAAATTGCACTGGAAGCAAGCACCGCGCACCTCGCGGCAGAAAAGGCACTTGAGGCCCATGCGAGCCTTTGGGATTTTATCCACATCGCACACCACCTCCCGTCCACTGTCGTCCCGCAGGATAGTTGTCTCCTCTGTATACAGAGCACAACGCCGATGGGCATGTGCCTTGCCATCCTCGGTGGGTAAGAGATCTTCGTAATCGAGGTTGTTGGGACACAAAACGCAGGGGATTTTCCGAGGAACATCCAGACTCATGCGCATACGTTTCGCCTTGGTGGTTTCGCCGTCCTGCTTCCGTTTGCGCCCCCGAGTAGATGGCTTCTCGGGAACACTGCGGGGCGGAGTCAGAAGATCCGAGACACCTTCCATCGCATCCAAGTCGCTGTCGTATTCTCCATAGTATTCAGGGGTTGCCTCCCCGCGAAGCTTCCGTTCAATCTCATCAACATCAATCCAGACACTGTCGGCTTCGCAGTGGCACTTCTTGGCCACCCGTCCATATTCCAACCACTTTTCCGTAGCGAAATTGACGGATTCGGCACAGTTGTAACCCAGGTTGTAGCCAGAGTGGTAGCCATATGGATAAGTGATGACAAACTCGCCCTCGTAATGCACCAATCTGTTGACTGTGATGCCATACTGGGATTTGAGTAGACTGGGCGAGACAAGGTAAGTCTTGTGGCGGAGGAATTGATCGCAGCTCTTGGCATCACTTTGCCAAATACCTTGATCTAGAGTTAGCACTGGAAGGCCACCGGATTTGGCTTGTAATCTTACTTTTCATGGCCTGTTCGAACCGAGGAGCATCCTCTTGAGAAATACTGTACCATTGTTTCGGAGCTCCGAAATGGATATAGTTGATGCTGTACAGATCCACATCCTCCAGGTGCCAGGCGAAAGTCGCTTTCCACATACCCAGGTACAGGTATGCAGTGTTAACACCCGGTACTTTCTGGCCGAGCACGTCCAACAAATTCGGTAACCGGGCAACATTCCACGAAGTCGTGATGTTATCATCGAAGAGGGAGCCAGGCATATCAGCACCGTACAGGGGATTGTTGAACATCAAGGATTTCCAGTAAGCGGTTTCTAGTTCCTCACATCGCTCTGCCGTGTACTCTTCGCTGTCATGAATGCGGTAATCGAAGTCTTTAAAGGCATCCTCGTCCACGTAGTCGACTGCATCACCGCCCTTGTTGTGTTTTCGCCGCGCAGTAACTGACTTGGGCTGCCGGCCTTTGGGCTTCGGGCCGGGTAGAGATTCGCCATCGCTCAGTTCCTCCGTCTTCGTCTCGACTGGATTTGACTCCGGAGAGACAGGAGTCGGAGGACCTTCCGGCTTGATTTTGTCAAGGCCTTCCTCTGCAGGAGGCTCCTCCTTGACCTTAACCTGGTTGGACCGTTTGGGCGGGCGGCCCGGACCTGGACGACGTTTCTGCGAATCTGCTCGAGGCGTCTGGTTTCGGGGCGCAGGATGGGCGCGATTCACCCGCTCCTGATTTCGGCGTCGTTCACCTCTGCGTGCGGGAGGTTGATGGCTGCTTTCTTCACACAGCCCTTTCCACTGGGGCAGATTGTATGATCGCTGTCTCTCGATGTTGGCCTGTGTGTATGTTCCGTGCGAACCGTGGAACTCCTGCATGATCGGATTCTTCACGCGAATCTTCTTCACGGCTTCGTCGAGCGGCGGGAGGGCATCAGACCTATTGAGACGACAGATGAGCGCTAGGTTGCGTAGGATTGACTACGGACGGACTTACCACTCCTTTGGGGGGATGATCTTGATAATACCCGATCGCATGCCGTATTCCTCGACTTTGTTGATGAATGACTGAAAGTCCCGGAACTGATCCATGGTCTAGCGAGTTTCCAATTAGCCCATGCGTCCGATGCAGAAGCTAGACGATCGGGCTCCGTCAGCAGGAGACCAGGCGACTCACCGGCTTGAAGACGGGAACCTTGCCACCACCATAGTAGTGGTCTGGCTCAATCACTTCGTCGTCAGCCTCCACCGATGGGATCTCCTCCTGAGCTCCGGGGACATTGTGGTCCAGTTCAAGATCCGATAGCTCCGAAGGCACGCCCTCGGGGGCCTCCTTCTTGCCGTTGGCGCTTTGCGGCGGAGTGATTGAGGCCGCATGGGTCGCCGGACCGCCCGCGATCGACTCGAAGAGGGGTTGATCAAGCGCTGCCGCCATCATCTCAAGATGAAAGAAACGAAAGGGGGGAGAATTGTTCGGAGAGATTGATTCTGGTGCCGTCGTCGGAAGAAGCGACCGCTGAACGACGGCAGGAGAGGGATTCCCAGCGGTCGGGGGAGTAAGCGTGACGTAGAGGAGGTACTTTCAGCAGGCGCTGTTCTGCGGAAGCCGGTTAATATTGCGACGGTAGTGCTTTCAACAAAGGTACACCCAAAGAAGGTTTATTTGGGTGGTTAACAATAGTGAGGGATAAAAGAGATAGTCGGGGAAAAGTATGGGTGAATGGGAGGAAGAGTGAATTGATGAAGTGCCCGGCTAGGATGACCCAAGCTCAGTTGGGACAAATTACAAAAGATTCCGAGATCACGCGAAGCGCAAGAAACACCGGGAAGGAGTCAGATAAAGATAGGGACCGGGTGGAACAGTGGATGATGATGAGATCGGTATCGACAGCGGTAGGCTGTAGCAGCAGACCAGCACGCAACGCAGGCCCCTCCTCCAATATGAGGGCTCAGGGAACGGAGGGAGCAGATTTGCCGTGGGTGTGTTGCAGGACCAAGCAGCAAGAGTAACGATGGCGCTAGTTCAGCAGCGGAGCAGGAAGAGAGGAATGGGTTTGAGCTAGCGCGAGGAGGAATGGAGCCACTACCAGACTACTCGTAGCAAGTGTAGCAACCAGCAAGAGGAAAAAAGGCAAAAGGCAGGGGGGGCAGGCAGGCAGAGCCAATGCCAGACGCAGCGCCCAGGTCGGAAGGGTCAATCAAGAAGGGGGTGTGGAAGGAGGACGACGATGAGTGGAGCCGGCCAGAGCACGATGGCCTGACCTTTTTTTCTTTCCCTTTGGTTCCCTTTGGGAAGATGATGATGGAATGGGACGAGTAAGATGGCTGAGCAGCCTGAGCGCCTGAGAGCATAAACGGGTTAAGGCACCGACGCGATACTCGGAGCAGTAAAGTACCGTCTGCGTGGCCAGTCGCAGGGGGAGATTTCTTTTGCCTGGCTGCTTTGCCGCGAGCAGATCGCAGCACGCAGCACGCAGCACGGGATGTCCGGTGTCGGAAAGAGCAAGAGAGGGTAGGTAGAAATGAGATTGCTTCACTTACTGGATATTGAAGAAAGGAGAGACAAAACAGACGCAAAAGACAGAGAGCCGAAGGGAGATGGTCTCTGCTTCAGTAGTGTTTTGTAGTTGTAGTAGTTGTAGCTGTAGTCGTGCGGTAGCATGGAGAAAGTCAGTCTCAAAGCTGTTGATCGGTTTCCAGCAATCCGAGGCAGCAGTTTGACTGGTTTGCTGCATGAAGTCACGTGGGACACATGACTGGGTGAGCTGAAACGGGCGTACGGTAGGCGGTGGGACGCAGGCTACGACACCACGCGGTAGACATCAGCACGCTGTAACTTAACTTGCTATGTGCAGTAAGTAGGTATACTGCAAGGCTGGGGGTGCGTGTGCGTGCAGCGATTGAAGAACAAAGTCCGGAAATCATGTCGACCTGACCGGCGGATAACCTCGGCATTGGGCAAGGACAATTCCAAGAAGATTATCATCATCATCATCATTATACCTACATTGATCGCTCGTACAGGCGGTGGTAACAAATCAATGAAGGGTCTGATCGGGATGACCTCACCAGTCCTGAGTGCCATTGGGGGGAGCTGCTCTGCTGGGCTGCATTTAGCCGGGGGTAAAAGCGGTTCTACTGCTCTTTGTTAGTAGTACCTACTCCGTAGTATTCTTTTCATTAATGATTGTCGTTATCTGGTAGTCGGGTCTATATGTCCACGCACTCATGATATGCAGTTAACCCATGAATCAGATACGCTCGGCGATATCCATTTCCGATAAAATCACTGCATGGCAAAGCCACCCATTGACCAGCTCAACATGGCACGGGGTGAGATTTTCTCATTGGCCACTGAGATCATCCGAGGAAACACCTGCATCAGTGCATGCATGCATAAGGCGGCGGCCGTCGAGGCATCGGCGGCGATAGCCGCTTTGAGACCCCCTCACTGTTTGGAAGAGATAGTAGTAGTAGTAGTATAGTGCCTGCATCGAGTCCATATAGACAGAGGCAACAATCAACTTAGCGCTACAATGCCCAACAATGGAGTATGAGCCTTCAATTAGATAGATAGTTGTAGATAGAACCTCACACACTCTTTCTCCTGTTCTCTACAAATCTACTCCCAACTCTCAGTTAGACATTCTACTTAGATCCCAAGTATACAACATAATAACCACACAACACCAACAATACACCAAGCCAATCCAACCCAACCAACGCACTGACAGACATGACATCTCAAGATAACTACCTTACTGACCAGGCTACTATACTTTCCAGTAATATGCAAGATAAAGCCGCAGGCTAAGAGAACATTCCACCACAGATCCGTGCAGCGCTCAATCACCCACCCACAGCAAGCACCTTGCACCGTCAGCATGTAAACTACCTAGTAATATATTCCCTTCCACGGGGCTGTTTCAACCCCAATCAGTCCCTCTGGAGTATACCTTCTACAACACCACCACTCCCCCTAAGAAATCCCGTTTATCCGACCTAATCAACCACGACATCAATGAAGCCCCAACGTCTGAGTATAGTACATACAGTACCTAAGTAGTACCGATTCACCCCATCACAATACCATAAAGGAATGAACCTGAAAACCTAACCCAACCGGCCGAACCAAACCCCCGAGTAGCAGCCTGAGGCCCCCCCCATCTTTAAAAGCCCGTGGTCCATGCCCCCCTTCCCAAACGGGATCACTGCAGCAATCAGCATCCATCCCATCCGCCGTATGCCCATCACTTTGAACTCGACTCACTCCAACCCCCGAAGAAGCGCCACCTCCCCTGGTCGGATTTTTCCAAGACAATCTACACGGTACATTACATACACACACTACTCTAGTTTAGCCAAAGTAAAGTAAACTAAACTAAACAATCCATTGATACGGTTTCACAAATTGCGAAGCAGTCGATCATCCTCCCCTCCCTGAGCATGGCGTTAAACCTTGCCCCCCCACCCTCCACCAACCACCCATCCTAACACACGGACCCTGACTGACGAACGACAAAACTAAAACAGGCACTGTACATACAAACTTGACGGCATGCATGCTTTTAACGGGCGTTGGGCAGGAATGAAAGTCAACGTTAATTGAGTACTTGGAGATATGTAGATGCACTGGGGGTGGAAGTGACAAGGTCGTACGACGTAGTGTTGTGTCGTCTGTGGATTCAAATGTATTGTACTCGGACATTGAATCAGTAGTAGTATATGCAGTATGGCATGATTACTTGCTATTATAGTGAAACATCCAAAGCCTCGGCTCTGGCCATAGTAAACATCAACCATAAACATTCCAACCATGGATAAGGTGCTTACAAGACAATATGTGATGCAGTTGTCGCCTCCTTAACGAACACCTCTTCGCAATTAGCGAGACGGAAGAGCATTCTGGTCCTCAGTTTATCAGTAATTGATATAGGATTGGTATCAACTAGATATGGATATAACATAAGGATATACACCCAGCACCAACTCACGGCTAACCGACTAAAAATGTAAACAACAATACAGAAAGCAGCGCACACGGTATAATCAATAGTCATTCAGCCGCAGCTTCTTCCCGACAAATCGCCGTTTCTCCGGCTTGTCCGTGCCACGCTCCCGGTCTGCATTGATCCCCTTCAGTGCATGAAGCAACATCCCGGCGTCGAAGAACCCATCTGATAGGTCTCTTGTTAGCAACTGCCTAATTTGATCTTAAAAATCACCAGAGAGGGGGGGGAAAGAACTTACATCCGCCCATTCCATCATCCTCGATTTCTCCGCTGTCCGTGGTGGGCGTCTCGGCTCCCCGATGGCTCGTGTCGCTCCTGACGATCCGGCCCCGGCGGTGGTCACTCTGGAGCCGCTCGGCGATCATCTCCATCTCACGCGCCCGGCTTGTGCGCGGACTCGCCGGTCGCTGGTTGATGGCACGCAGCAGCTTCCGGATTTCGAGCAGATAAGACTCCAATGTGTACATCAATCGTTGAGTCTGACGATGCTTTGACGAGGCACAGAACGAGATCGTGTCATCCTTGATTATGTAGCCAATGCCGAAGCCATCCGCGGAAGTTGGTCCGAATCCGAAGTGGCGTAAGCACGGGTTCCCGCAGTTTGAAGTCGACAGCACCGTGGTATTGATCTTGTCCCAACCAGCATCACTGAAGATGGCCGGCATGGTGCGCACGCCACGAATGCTGTAGCCGGTCGACGAAAGCCCGTCTTCTGACATCGGGCCGGGAGATTTCGGCGATGAGATCGACTCGCCATCTACAGGGCTGGTATAGCCATTGGTGCCTTCTGAGACACTATTGCTGGCCGACGACACCCCGTCGTCAAAGGATCGCTGCCAGAGACAGTACAGTGCGTAGAGGTGTCGGTCTTGTCCTTGACCCTTAGAACATTCCTTCGTGATGGCCGTGTGCTTCTCGGTTGCTTTCCGAAGCGCATTCACCTTCTGCTCCGCCGGATTCTCCCCCCAGAAGGTTGTGACAAAATCAGCACATTCGCTGGTGACCGTCCGTATGGCCTCTGTTCGGCCGTGCAGAAAGGACTTGGTCATGGCTGGCTCGTAGGTATTTTCCAGTCGCCCATAAAGCCCATAGTACGCTGCCTGGAAGGCCATCTGTACAAATGCATCGGGTGAGAACCCCATCGAAGTGATGAAATTCTTGCCAAATCCAGTGAAGTCCAGTACTTGGAACTCGTGCTGTTTCAGGAGATCAGACAGGTGCGACTCAGCAAATCGCAGGGCAATGCTGAGCTCGGGCACCATGTCCCACTCCAACTTGCGCGGAGTCGTGCTGACGTTGCCAAAACTCCGAGGGTCGCGCTTAGCAGGATCCGGGCTTGATGTTGCCCAGAGGCTGGGTGCTTGGCCGTTGATGGTGCGGGCAAAGCGAAGAATTGTGTCGGTATAGACATCGCTGGCAAATCGAAGCACCGTGTGTCCATCGACGCCGGTATGCTCAAAGTTGATGCCCGCGCTACCGTTCTTACATACGATAATTTGCAGCTTGTCGTACCAACGGTTCGTACACGTACCAACTTGAACTCCTCTGATGACTTCACTTGTTCCGCAGAGCATGTT